CATAGTAGAGAGGACTTGCTCGTGGGGTTAACCCACCATTGTTGTTATTTCAGGATACGGTCAGTACCCGTTCCAAGGTTGAGGTTAGCAGTGAGGGACCACCATCCGAACTCATCTACTCTTACGATCCAGTTCAGGGTAGAAGTTTTATGTATTTCTTCAGTTTCAGCTTTTATTTACTTTTGACGTTGAACTCTCCGGTTTATATTTAGGGATCCTTGACATAGGATTTCCAAGTTGTAATGGAGTATTGTATTAAATAAAATGATGGATTGGATGTTGTATCATTTAGTGTTCCTTTCCTGTCTAAATTTTTTTATTATCATCATTTTGTATTCCATGCTTGTATATTGCCAATTGTTTTTGATATCCCTCGTTTTTCGTGTATAAGCCTGATCAACTTATGCGTGGAAAATGTTGGGGGTGTCACACCAAATAGCCTCTAAATTTCTATGTCACAATGAAATAGAAAGAGGGGAGCAAATAATGAGTATTTCATGTGCAATGTACGTGCATCTATACTAGTATTGTTAAAGAGCAATGATACATCTTCTGAATTCAGAATATGTGAAATAGGGGATATATGAGTGGGGGTGTGCATCCCACCACATGACATCACTCTGATATCATGCGGTGAAACCTACACTCCACTCACACAACACAATTCGGAGGATGTATCCATTTTTTTTTTATGTTTAAGAAAAATAATTCACCTTGTTTTTTTTTTTTTTTCCTTAACTTTCAGCTCAAACTTTTTATTTTTACTATGTACTTGTGATGTGCATTTTCTAGTGTGAGGCTAAAAATTAAGAAGAATGTTATTTTATTTAAACAAGGATTGTTACTTGAATCCAAAAAAAATTGAGGGGCTAAAATTGTCACCTATGTTTTTTTTTGTTTTGGAGAGCTTTGAAATACACTCAAACTTCTAGGCAAAGAGTGTGTGTGTGCACATGTGGTTTGGCGCGCTCGGGGCTCCGGGGGGGGGGGGGGGGGGGTAGGGCCTTGTTTTGAGATTGAAACTATTTATGGTACACTTAATTCATTTTTTATTTTTGATATAAATTATGTTTGAAAAAACATCTCCATGTGTAATTCTTACGAGAAACTGATTTACATTCAAACCTCTAGATTAAGGTGGTTTTTTTTATTTTAATTTTTTTTAAATTATTGTGATCACGAGGTTACGGGTTTGAAATATAAAACAACATCTCTATGCAAAGGTAAGACCGCCCCCTTCACAGACCCCGCGATGACGAGGGTTTCATGCATTGGGCTAATGTTTTTGCCTCTTTACGTGCATATAGATAAAGTTGCATACATTTACCTTTCACCGGACTTCATAATAGCGGAAGCCTTGTGCATTGAGTTTGCCTTTCTTTCTTTTTTTTTTGTTTATTTTATTTCAACAAAGAAAATGAAGAGAATTGAAATAATTTCTCGTCCATTATAACTATTTGTTTTGATTTAGAATATGTTTAAAAAGACCTTTCAACTTATTTTTTGTTCTTAATTTTCGGCTCAAAATGTTGTTTTTACTTTGTGCATGTGAAGTGATATGCAAGCCTCCATTGTATTTTCCATGGGGCGCTTAAATTAATTAAGAAGGACTAATACTATATATATATTTTTTTCCTTTTCATTTTAAATAATGATCATTACATAATAATTTACATTTACTTCAATCCAGTAAATTTTTGTGGGGGTAAAATTTTCACTTTGTTTTTTTTCCACACTTTTAAAGAGTTTACTTAAACCACGAGGTGATTATTATTATTATTATTATTATTATTATTATTATTTTCAATAGATAAGATGAAGAAAATTGAAACAATTTATGGTCCGCTCAGCTCTTGTTGTTTTGATATAAAATATGTTTTAAAAAATATTTCGATCCATGACACACAAACACACACATATATATATGGGCCAAGTGTAGAAAACGCCTTAATGTACACTTTGCGTAACACTTTCACCCCTATTTAAAAAAGTGTGTTAAAAACACTTATATTTTTTTAAAATTGTGCGGAAACACATCTCAATAATAATAAAAAATGACATAAAGTAATATTGTAGTACTCGTTTTACCCTTTTATTCTTCTAAAAATATCCAAAGGGGTGTGTACGTATATTAATAATCTCATAGTATAGGAGTGTTGTATACACATTACCTATAAAATGATGCATTTTTAAATGTAAAATATGTATACAAGGGCAATTTTGTCAAAATAAAACTTAAATGTGTCAAGAGGGGTCTATTTGCACCAAATTAAAACTTTAGGTGTATTTTCTATACTTGACACACATATATATATATATATATATATAGATATGTAAGTGTGCATATATAATAATATAAATATTTTTCATATCACCCTATTATATACATGTTCATTTAAACACTGTGGAAAAAGAGAGAGAAAAAAAAATTGTTTTAAGGGCCACTTAGTCTATTGTATTTCAAAAAGTTTTTTGTTTTTCATGAAAAATAAGATGAAAATGAACACTTGCCAACAAAGAAATTGACTCTTTGTAATATATTTATTGATACAAAAATTGTGAATATTATCTGTGGTCACATTTGTTAATAATACCGTTGGTCACTTTAAACCACTACCCATGGTATGTTTTACCAATAATAATCAAAGCTACAAATTTATTAGTAGGTTAATAAAATAACACTAAACTAGTGATCTTGATATTAATAAATTATTCCTCTAATAGTCCAATACAATAGATAATTAGTGAGTGATTAAACATTGAGTACAATTAGTTTGAAATTAGAGATGTTACATGGATACACACACACGCACGTGTATATACATATATATAGGCTAAAGTTTAAATGCACAAAAGAAGATATATTTGCTTAAAAAAGTAATTTAGGAGAGAGAATTACCACTTTTCAAATTTCAAAACTCATGCATTGATAAATAGAGCCTTCAAAAAAAAAAAAAAAAAATGGTAAAACTAGTTGGTAAGAGCATTTTAATAATAGAAATTAAGTTGAAAACAAAAAGAAAGCCCAACAACTACAATTTTTGGATAATTTTATGTATCAAGAAGATTTTTTATTTTATTTTTTTATATATCAAGCATAAGTAATTATTTTATCCAAATTTTTAGCACAATATAAAAAATAAATAAATGTCGACACAACATTTAAAAGTAGTAGGAGTAATTTAAGGTATGTCATGATAATTAGTGGAGTCAACAATTATCAAGTTTAAGTCTTTTTGAAAATTTTCAATAGGTATAACTTCAAAATGATGATAATAGAATAGATAAATTAGTGTCTTTCGAATTGATCATTTATAATTTTAAAAATGGTGAATTCATCCGATCACAACGTAAGTTTAAGTGATTTTTTTGTTATATTTGCTCTGACTAAATAAAAATATTAGAAAAATTAATTATAGAGTAAAGAGTAAAACAATTCCCTAATAATTAGTATTATTATTTTTGTTTTTTGAAATAAAAAGTAGTTATCATAATCTTGTGATTAGGATAGATTTGCAATAATGCATGGAACATGTGGGAGGGAGTAGATTAAGCCACTTTTCGAATTTCGAAAACGTTACTTGCAGACACATCCCAAAAATGGAAAACGCGTTAGGTGTTGTCGGACCAAAACGCACCCAGCGCACATTAGCAAACAGTATCATTGCCTTGTACGTCACGTTCACGCGCATTGTCACGCGAGCTGAAAATTCGTGTTGCTGACTTTGACCGTTGCTCATTTAACCCACCGTTCAATAACGTGTACCACACGTACTACCCAATGCGAATGGTCACACACTGCATTTATATAAGTAGTGTAGATGTACATTAATAATTAATAATAATCTCCCGTTAACATATTACACTTTCCAATTACGTGCATATGTGTTGTCTCCCATTCCAACTATCACTTTCATTCTCTATCAAGTGAGATTAACCAATTTAATATTACTCATATATATATATATATATATATATATATATATAATGTTGTATAAATTCACATGTGTGTAGCATGTGTATTCAGAATGAGACAGTATTAAATGTAATCTTAGTTAACATAAAAAAATTGTGTTGTGCCCAACTATCACTTTCATTATATCATGTGAGAGTTAATCAATTAATAATTTAATATCACTATATCCATATCTACACAATTTACATAATTACACACAATCAATTAATTTTACTCATGTATCACCCACATTACTTTCTTATAAATGCACTAAAATTTGAATGTGGAATGACATTCTTGTCCTTGATTTTCAATTTGATTTTACAAAATCTATGAGAAGAGAATGTGTTGGCTCTGTTTAATCAATTAACTCAAGTGTCAGAATGATCTTGTTTCTACAATTTTGTTAAAAAAAAAAAAAAAAAAAAAAAAAAAGCGGGCTACTCTTAATTATTCAATTCGAATTTCAAGACAAATTATGGAGTATTTTTTTTCCTAATTGGTACTCACACAACTACCTCAATCAGAAATTGATCTTGAAATCTAATACTTTATGAGGCACTAGGGTTTAGGTCTTTTCCAACGAACTATTAAGTTTTAAAAAAGAAAAGTACGTTACAGACAACATCTCTTTAATTATCCCGAACTTCAAAACCACCTCGATCTATGCTTGATCATTCAACTCAAGCATAAAAGCTGTGAACTATGCTTGATCAATGATCATTCATTCAACTCAAATTTCAGAATTTAAGTATAAGGGGCATTTGTGTCATTTGATTTTTAAAAATAAAGATATTTATAAAAGGAGGGGTGACATTTATCATATTTATTTATATATATAAATTTACATATTTAGAAACGTGTATAAGAATAAGACAGTATCATAATGTGATGTCTGGTTAATATATAGTAATTGTTCAGGTAAGTTTAATGAAAATGATTAGCTTTGGAGTAATATTTTTTGTTTTGTTGATATTTTTGGTGGGTCTAATATTAAGTTGATTTAGTCATGACTTTCCCTAATAAGACACTTCCCACAGTCTTTCTCTCTCTTGATTCCATGACATTTCTCTCTCTAGAATTTTCTACTATTATTTTATCTAGGTAGGCGAGCTGTGAGCATGAGAGGGAGCATAGCAGAGAAAGTAGAAGAAGGTATATAAAATGAAGTAATACAAATATATATATATATATATATATATATATATAAACATGTATATGCATGTGTGTGTTTGTGTTTGGGTGTGTGTGTGTGTGTGTTTGTGTTTGTATATGTACGAACTCCTCTAAACTCTTCTAAGCTGGTAATCGGTCCTGGTCTCTCTCCTACTTTTGCTCTCTCGTTGCCATCTCTCTTCTCCAATTGACTTCGATTTCTCCGTGGTCTTTCTCTCTCTAAATCTCATAATCAGTCACCGCCTTAGCTCCCTCTGTCAAGCTCTCTTTCTCTCTCCAGAGCTCTCTGATGGGATCGGGTTGCAATTAGGGTTTCTTTCTTCGTTCTGTGTTTGTGATTTTGCCGTCTGGAATTTTAATTCAATTTGATTTTTCGAGCTTTGTTTTGATTTTCCGTCTCAATTGTTGTTGTTATTGTGTTTAATTTCAATTTTGGGAGGAGTTTGGGTTTGCAGTAGATCCGTGGATGGAGCTTTGATTGCATGTTATGTTCATCAAGTTGTGTTCACTTGGTTTCGACACTCAGCTGTGTTTCACTTTGTGTTTTTTTCTTTGGGCGCCTGATTAATTGAAATTCCTATATTGCATGTTCGATGAAATCAAGGTGATTGTGGTTTTGTGGTTTTCAGTTTCATTTGGAAGTGTGTGGAGGTCAACTTGATTTCAATTCGTTCAAGCTTTGTGCCTTCTTCATTTCAATTTCAACTCCATTTGTGTCACAAAATTCTGGGTTTTCAAAATTTTGTTTCATTGAATTTTAGTTTTTATTTGTTGTTTTTTTGTTTTTTTGTTTTTTTAAATTCCAGTTGTGCTGGTCTTCATTTGGATTTGATTGAATTTCTCTGGGATTGGTATTTTGGTTTTGTATAGCATCTGGTAGTGGTTTTTGTGAAATCTTTGGGTCTGTATTCTGGGGGTTCTGGAAATCATTCGAGGCTGATTGTTCTCCAACTCATCAACAGTCTTCATTCAGGTAATTATTCACTTCTTACCAAATTTATGTTGCATTATATGTCAATGAATTTAGGTACTATTAGTTTCTATTCCAGTTCTTATATTGCTTTTGAGGTTAACATGTGAAACATTTCCCTGAAAAACAAGAAAAATGCAATCAAATGATGCTTTGGGGTTTAAGATTTCTATGCTGTCGGATTGGAAATGTTTCGTACTTATAATACTGAATTTGTCCTTATGCATCTCTATTTGGTGATATTTTCAGATTTTTTTAGTGGGTGATGGTTATATTTGAGCCATACATTTATTGTTCTGTGGGTACACCATTGAGAGTGAGGGTACACTTATCGACACCTTATGAGGTTTAGGCTTGACAACACAGTGAATTTTGCTGTATCGAGTATTATGTTAGTGTTGCTTGGAATGTGCTGTGGTTTATTGCTGAATTTGATGAGACTATATTCTGTTGTCGTTACTAGACTAGTGCATTATATTATTCTCCATGGTTGCAGCTTGATTTTGGTGGTCTCTCCGTCTTCTTATGGTAATTTCATTCTTTTGGGGTTTGCAGGATTGGATTGCTGGGGACTTTATTTTGGTGTTTGTTATTTCTAATTGTACTGCATTTAAGAAGATGAGTCATATGACAAGTGAGAGTGAGGACAGGATGATGTCCAAAGATTCCACAGATTCACCTTCTGTTGAAGAAGCTAGCAGTGGAGGAAACTTGGTAGGAGGCACTCCTTTGAAGAAAGGCCCCTGGACGTCAGCAGAAGATGCAATTTTGGTGGAGTATGTCAGCAAGCATGGGGAGGGGAATTGGAATGCCGTCCAGAAGCACTCAGGACTTTCTCGTTGTGGTAAAAGCTGTCGTCTGCGTTGGGCAAATCACCTAAGACCAGATTTGAAGAAAGGTGCATTTACTCCTGAGGAAGAGCGTCGTATCATTGAACTCCATGCTAAAATGGGAAACAAATGGGCTCGAATGGCTGCGGAGGTGTGTATTTATGCTCCACTAGTATCTTTTCAAGTAAATCAATTATATTGCATTTTTAATTTGTTTCCAGTTGCGCTGAGATTTTTTTTTTTTTAATTTTTAATTTTTTTTTTCTCCTGAAGATAGTTTTTTTATATCCTCAGGAAGTTTTAGCATGAGATTGATGGTTCAGGATAGTAAATTTGGTAAACATATATCTAAACGATTATTGTAACTTCTTTAGTTCAATTTATTGAGATCTTGTTTTTTAATTTTTATGTATTTTAAGTTTCTATGTATTTTTGTGTTGACAACACAAGAGGGTGAACATTTACTTTGGTGATGATAGTGATAGTATCAATAAAAGCGAAGTAGTTTCCTTTATTTCATTGGAAGGTGGCTTTTTGGATTTTTTTATTTTATTTTTTAATCAAAACATTTTATGAACCCAAAAATCTTGCCCTGTAAGCTGCTGTAAGTTTATCAACTTCAATGCAATCTTTTTCTTCTTTTAAAATTTTGAACAAATGCTTGACTTTCTGGAGGAACATCTCACCAGTTGCATGGTGATATGTGTTACTGTAAGATATTTATAGAAAGTCGTATTTTTCCTCAAACTTCCCTTTTCAATTATGCAAACTTATGCTGTGTCAAAATGTTTAAGTTTTGCTGCTGTCATTATATATTCTACTTTTGTATTATGTGGATCAGGGTCTCATATAGGAATTATGATTGCTGAACTTTTATGATAATGTAACAAATATACTCAAGGATATTTTGGGGTTTACTTATATATTTGGCCTTTTATTTTTTAAAAATTTATCCGTATTGACTTATTCCCCTTACAGTACAAATACTATAGGTGGAGTGATAGAGGAAGTGTATGCTACTTGGCAGCCATTGTAGAACTTATCCTAAAGTATAAGATTGTGAAAATAAGGTTAGTATGAGTTGGGGGTTTTCCAAAGACCTTAAGGAGAAAGAATTCTAATGAATCCAATGTGGATGTCAAAGCCAAATGGGCAACCCATTGGTATGATGGAAAGTCTGGTTTAAGAAATTTTTAGAGAAGTCACCCTGTCAGTGTTTGCTGCATAATATGATCAATTTTTTGTTAATGACAGAGTTTATTAACCTGAAAAAAGTAAGAAAGCAGTTAACTTGACCCCCCTTCTCGAGAAGTGGTGATTGTACATGTGAATCTTTTGTCTCAGATTATATTATTCGGTTACTTGAATAATGCAGTGCGTGTCCAGTGAATGAGATGGTCGATTTATCGTTTGAGAATTTGAGTATTGATTGGTTTGAGATAAAGATTACAGGCAACTATTATTTTAACAATTTAAATTGTAAAAAAATAATATAAAAAGAAAGAAATTCCCATTTTTCTAACAGTTTCTCAGTAAAGTTATCGTTATCACCATCCATGTCTTCATACCGTATGGATGGGGTTGAGTGGACCACATGGATTCTTCTTCTCTCTCTCCCTCTTTTTTTTTTTTTCTAATTATAGACCGTGTCTCCTATAATATTTCATTTTCAAAATTCAACCTCATCCCATGTGAGTTTTGGCCGACATCTTTGTCACTTCAAGCAAACAACTCTACCTCTTCTAACCGGTGCATGAGCAGGGATATCATAATCATTAAAAAATCGATTAATTAAATTTAAATCCCCGACATCATGGTGGCCTTTGCTTTAGCTAAACTTTAATCTTCTCTCCTTGATAAATTCAATAATCAATCGCAATATTGAGAACGGAAGGTAATATGTGATAAATTTTAACTGCTTCTATCCTCAGCAAATTCACTGCTTCACACCCAAAGGAGTACCCCACCATTTCTTAATATTCTAATATTTCACCTCGTTGCTTCGGAGATATTGTTCCCCATTATTTTTTTTTTCTTAGTTGAAAAAGTTTGGCGGGGCCCCAAGTAGTCGTAAACTCCTAGTAGGAATTGAATCCCGGACCTGGTGCAAGGAAGCACCAAAGCCTAAGTAATTTTACCACTAGGCCAACCCCTTTGGGTTTTATTCCCCATTATTGATGATGAGCTGTTCTCACTAATGATGATCAATTGCTATGATGGTGCTTTCCGTTGGTGGCAATGATTGTTTGAGGGTAGCAGTGATGATTAATCTAATACTCTCTCATTGGATGCTTGGACTGAGACTAGGGTTGGCAAAATTTGACACGTCTCGCCAACACGACATGAAGTTAGCGAGTTTGGGTTTACCTTAATCATGTTCGTGGCATAATCGTGTCAATCCGTATAACCTGTTTAATTAATCAGAATGTGTTTGTGTTTTTGGGGCTTAACTCGTTTAACATTATTAGACCCAATTAATTAATCGTGTCAGTTCAACCTGATTAACCCGGAAAATATTTTAACCCATTTACCATGATTATTTTTTGTATTTCAGTATAAATTCAATATGGATATTGTATTTGTATTTTATTTTTTATTTTTGTAATTATTATGTCTCAATTATCTTCATTTTCATGAATTTGGATTATTCAGTCATTCATTATGTCAATTTATACTTAGGTTAATAAACAAGTTACACGACCCATTTAATGTAAATGGGTTAAATAGGTTATTAAACGGGTTGTGTTATATTGTGTTACCCGACCCATTTAATAAATAGGTTACATGGGTCATGTTACCTGCCTAATAAATGGGTCATTTTCGTGTCAAGATTCCAAACGCGATTATTAAACAGGTCATGTTCAGGTTGACCTGTATGAGAGTACTATTAGTTCAACATGACATGATTATCACTCGCCAACACGAGTTACCACCCCTAGCTGAGACATCTAGCTTTCTCTCTCTCTCTCTCTAAATCAAAAAAATGTTTAACCGTATTGAAATCCCCGACATGAGGGTGATTGTTGCTTTAGCTAAACTTTAATCTTCTCTTTTTGATAAATTCAATAATCAACCGCAATATTGAGAACATAGGGTGATGTGTGATAGCTTTTATCTGCTTCTATCCTCGGCAACACTGCTTCACACACAACAGAGTACCCCACCATTTATTTTATTCTAATACGTCACCTTGTTGCTTTGGATATATTGTTGCCCATTATTGATGATGATGAGCTGCTCTCACTAATGATCGTCGATTACTATGACGGTGCTTTCCATTGATGGCAATGATTGTTTTGAGGGTAGCGGTGGTGATTAATCTAATACTCTCTCATTGGATGCTTGGGCTGAAACATCTAGCTTCCTCTCTCTCTCTCTCTCTCTCTCACTCAATAAAAAAATCAATTAATTAAATTGAAATCCCCTACATGACGGTGGCCGTTGCTTTAGCTAAACTTTAATCTTCTCTCTCTAAATTCAATAATCAACCACAATATTGAGAAGGTAGGGTGATTTATGATAACTTTTATCTGCTTCTATCCTCAACAAATTCACTGCTTCGCACACAAATGAGTACCCCACCATTTCCTCATATTCTAATACTTCACCTCGTTGCTTCGGAGATATTGTTTCCCATTATTGATGGTGAGCTGTTCTCACTAATGTTCATCGATTGCTATGATAGTACTTTCCATTGATGGCAATGATTTCTGTGAAGGTAATCTCTCTTTCTCTCTCTCTCTCTCTCTCTCTCTCCATGACACCCCAACCATAGGTCAAAGAGCCCAGCATATGTACCCTCTGAATTCCACTTTGAGATCACATTCCCGAAGTCCCTCTCCTCTCTGGAATCTTATCTATCAAACAAGATCCTCATGCTCTAATGCAGTCTCAGGCTAAACAGGAGATCTCCATTTTAATCTTGGTCTTAAAAACTGAAACTAGTAGTTCCTTTTATTTATTTATTTTTTTACAGGTTTGGTAAAAAGTAAAGAAGTGATTTGTTTTAGTATGGAGCATAACTTTAGTATTTATAAATTTATTGGCCAACCACTCAAAATTTTCCATCATTCAATGATACTGACCCTAAAATTGTTTTCAGTTGAATGTGCAAATTTTTTCCGTAGTAGGAAATCACTAACACACTAATTAACATGTTAGCTCCACATGAGAGCCTTTTTCTAAAAGCTAATAAGGCAATCGTCAGTCAGCTCGGCCCTTTCCTATTCTGCTTCGCTGCCTATTATGAGAATAGGTCCTGCTCGAGTGGATTGTCTCATTGGGGACACAAACCCTCAACCTTCCATTTGGAAGGAGGGGGAGGTACCACTTGGCTAAGCCCAACTGGTAATGTGCATGGTTGAATTTACTGTATTAATGGATACCATTATGGTTTTGCTTTTTATTATATTATCACGATATTTTGGTATGAGGAGCGGTAATGAAATTGATGTGTGATAATTTCACAGCTGATATATTCATTTTATTGGCATTATTGTTGTTTTTTATGCATGCGATAAAGGACACGATAACACCAGCTCTAATAACACGTCACTTGTGTCCTTACACATGTCATGAACTTTGGTTTCCACGTGCTCATGTCACAAAGAACCTGAAAGTTAAAATCCACCCGCCCCTTCTGGCTATTGCCGTTCCATTTACACAAGACTTTTGATGAAGGATGCTCTTTATCTTCTTTAACAGTTTCTTCACCTTCCATTTCTTCCTTGCTGTTTGGCTTCTGTAATTTTTCTCTTCTCGCAACGGTAGGGCCGTGAAGGTCACGGGTTCGAATCTAGGAACCTCCTCTCCATGTGGAGGTAAGGCTGCATACATCTAACCCTCCTCAGACCTTGCAATGGTTGGAGCCTCGTGCACTGGGCTACCCTTTGTACTGGCCGGCCGACCCCATTCGTATGGGATTAAGGCAAGGATGATGATCAATTTTTCTCTGTATATATTACAGGTTAGCAAGAAGTATGCTTATATGTATTCCATTAATATTTTATAATAATATATATATTTTTCCTATTTGAGACTCGCACACCCTTATCATACTATATATAGAAATATACACATGTAGTATATGCTACACACTGTCATATATATAGTTTTAGATTGGACAAGAGATATAAAAACGACGTGGTAGGAATAACGGGAAAAACTGAGCGTCTGGTTAGGAAATTCAAAGAGTATTTAGTTAAATTTTTCATGGACAATATCTGAGATAGTGGCGTTAGTTTTCACCCAAGCTTGTGAAATGGCCGTTCAATGTGAGATTATCACTTTTTCAATTGTTATTTTATAAATTGTTGTGCATGCATTTTATATATATTAGATTATCACTCTATGTTGTTTATGTAGACAACTTTTATGTTTTCAATGTCTTGTTTCTATGATTTCTACTTGCTTCCATCAATTTTTCAAATAAATGTTGATATTCTTTTATCTCTCTGTATCTCTGTCAATGTCTCTAAAATTTTGAATGCTGCTACAATGATCAAAGTTGGTACTCACTGCTAATGATAATTACATTAGTTCATACCTTATCGATATCCTTGATAATATTGATTTACCCATATTTCTTTTTTAAATGGTTGTTCTTGGCGTGCTACGAGAAAATCTAACATACTCTGTCCTTGCAGTGCAAGTTTATAGATTTTGTAGAAGTAAAACTTGATTTTTTTTTTTTTGTGTGGGTGGGGGGTCCAGTTTTTGGGAGCGCGTCTCTGCATGTCGTCTACTCATTGCATTTCATGCAATTTTCTCAGTTTGATAGTTAACAAATTTGCTGTCACATTGCGCACAGCTTTAACAGAAGAGCCTGATGTGCTCTTTTACCTGATTTTATTTATTTAGTTATTTTTTGACAGAAATTAAATGTTATTTTTCACGCTTGTCTCATCCTCTTCCTCCTTTTCAGTTGCCTGGACGTACAGACAACGAGATAAAGAACTACTGGAATACCAGAATCAAGAGAAGGCAACGTGCTGGCTTGCCTATATACCCTCCTGATATCAGTTACCACCAGGTATTTAATGAGGAGCAACAAAATATGAGCATGGGTTCATACCCATCTGAAGACTCACGACATTCTGATCTGCTGCCCACAAACAACTTTGAGATTCCTGCCGTTGAATTCAAGAGTTTGGGACTCAATCAACAGATCTATTCGTCAAGCCTTCTTGATATTCCTTCAAGTAGCTTGCTTGATATTCCTGCGAGTAGCTTGCTATCACAAGGTCTTGGTTCCTCCGGTGGTAATAACTTCATGTTCTCAATGATGAATCCAGCCAAGCGCCTTCGAGAATCCAAGTCCTTGTTCTCTGATGTAAGTGATAGTCTTGTTGATGCTCTTCCAGCGATCAATCAATACCAGAATGGTGGTGGTTGTGAGAAGGTCTCGCAATCCTTTGGATTTTCTTCACCATATGATCACAATCTTAGTGCCAATCATCCATCATCCTCATGTGTACTTCCTGGCAGCCATGCCCTTTTAAATGGCAACGTGCCTTCTTCTGAGCCCAACTCTTGGGCTTTGAAGTTGGAGCTCCCTTCACTCCAATATTCTGATACTCAAGTTGATAGCTGGGGGATACCTTCTTCCCCTCTGACTTCTCTCGAGTCCGTTGATACTTTAATTCAGTCTCCTCCAACCGAGCACACACAGCCGGAGAGTGTGTCGCCACGGAACAGTGGCCTGTTGGATGCTGTTCTCTATGAAGCGACTTTGAAGAACTCAAAGAACAATTCAGACCAGCACACTTCTAATGCTTCTATTATTCCCGGTGATATGGTTAACAGTTCATCCCAGAATCTATGTGAGACGGAACGGGAAGTATGTGGTGACCCGATCTCTCCTTTAAGCCATTCAGCTGCATATGTGTTCAGCGATTACACTCCCATCAGTGGAAGCTCGTCTGATGAACCCCAGTCAGTTGAGACCATGCCAGGTTGGAATATTTTTGTATCTTGTTAACTTTGATGGATGAAATTGACCGTGTTATATTAATGAATTACTTCTGTCTTATTGTGAAGGATGCAAAATTAAGCAAGAAGAAGTTGACTGGATTACGAGACAGTATGATGAAAAGGAAGAAAATGCAGATCATATGCTTTTTTCCAGGCCTGATTTCTTGCTTGGATCAAATTGGTTTGGTGATGACACTGAGCGTGGTAAGGAACACTCCATCATGACAGATGCTATCGGGGCACTTCTTGGTGAAGATTTCAGCAGCGACTACAAACAGGTTGGTGCCGTATCTACTTCATCAGGTCAAGAATGTAGCCATGGACCTCATACCTGGGATATCATATCCTCTCTGTCAACTTTCTGAAAATATTGAAAATTTTCTGGAGTTTCAAACAAATGCCTTGGATGTTTTTCCTCTTACGATTGCCCCAATGTTTTCTCTCAGTTTTATGACCTTAGAGGAAAATTTTCATGGTACCTTGTCTGCGAAACTTTATATCCGTTATGTTGTGTCGGTTGTGGAAGATCGGGTTTTGAAGACAGTATTTGCATGCAGGTTGCATCTAAAGAGGTGTATGCAACCTTTTGTCGTAACAGTGCTCAATGGGGCTGTACTTTTATTGTTGAACATGGATGTTTTCCGACAATATGATGGTTTTGTTTCGACTAATCGTACATTTTGTAGACCATTTCCATTACCTTCTGTTTAGAAACCATTGCAGTGATGCTGCTTCTTGTTTTCTACATTTGTCCCCTCTCTATTTTGATATTATTATCGGTACTTTTTGTGTAGGCCCTAGATTACACACACACACACACACACGTGTGTATATTATGCTGGTATTCGGAGGCTTTGTTGGTTTATTCTGTTATGCAGAAGCTGTACACTTTATTTCTGCAATGCTGAATTTGTTACACCAATGGGGGCATTTTGTAATATAGAGCATTTGGGTCCTACAAATTCTCAAAGCATTTAGGGGTTCATGTAGTCTTGAACATTTGTTAGGTTCCCAATAAAGTAATGCTAATGCTATATGAAATGAGACATATCTAATATTTGTTGTGATGATCATCTTGTTGATGATATTGATGTTTAGTTAGGTTGCTTCTGGACATTGATAATCATCTTGTTGATGTTGTTCATGTGAAGTTTACTTTAGTTCAGGTTTGAATTTTAATTTTGAATCTGTATTGAAAAATGAGTCAGTTGTGAACCTCTGTTGAAAGATTTGTCAGAGTTTGGGTCAGATATTAGTCTGGGTAAATTCTTAAATTTATCAGATTTTATTCATATATTTTACTCTGTTTGGATCCTGTATAAATTACATGAGTAATAATATATGGAGTCTGTTGTAGAAAAATGCATAAAATCATAGGAGCTTATACATGCATATACTTAACTTTGGGAATGTTTGGTACACAATTTGTAGATAGCAGGAGAATTTATTATTTTTATTTTTATTTTATTTTTTCTGTTTTGAATATATTACCCAATTATCCCTTGTCTAGATGGCATATATCTTATAGGGTTAATTACACTCACCTCTCCTCTCCTGGGGTTAATTACACACGGATAGAACGTTTGGTTTATATTATTTTGACATTCTTAAAAATGGGAAATATCTTTTATACCCTTATCTAATTTAATAAAAAAAATTCAGTAAACCAAAAGACTCTATTACCCATTTATTTATTTTTTCCCCATCTTGTATATACCCCCCTTTTTTTTGTTGGAAAAAAAAAAAAAAAACATAATCAAACCCTAAAAACTTCCATAATCAAATGTCATTAACAAAAAAAAAAAAATTAAAAAAATACTTTTTGTAAAATCAAATGTTATGAAAGTGATATGAAAATTGATACTTTGCATTTTAATTGTATTTTTGTCATTTCATGTTAAAATATAAGGTTATTGAGGTCTTTTAACGCAAGGAAATAAAGAGGGCAACTTAGTTATTTTTTGAATTTTCATTAGTGATAGGGGTAGTCGTTGAGTACATTTACCAAATTTCAGGAGATGTCAAAATAATAAAGGCCAAATGTTCTACTAATGTGTAATTTGCCCAAACCTTAGTGGGGATTAATGTAATTTACCCTATCTTATATACCATTTTTCAGAAACAAATTAAGAAAATGCAATTTGAAAAGGTTGTGAGAATTATATTAAGAAATGAGTTATTATGGGTATTTTCTATACCTAACATTTTCTTCATTTATAATCAAGTCTATTGCGTACTTAAATCCCTGTTTATTTTTCTTCAATTCCCGAAAAATTCATTTATCATAAAACTCATAAAAGTTTTAGTGGCATAGAAAAGTTAACACATGTTTAGAGCAAGGTGGGTGTTTAATAAACCAGAAAATATGTATTGTAAAAATTAACGTTAAACTGGAAATACTCAAATTTTAAGTACTAATCTACGATTAATAGGTCTAATTTTCCCATCACAAATTTCATGACCAAGAAATCGGACCTTAGTTAAAAACAGTTTTAGTTTAGGAGCAGAAACTACTAAACCACTTCGGTAAATGACATCTTTGAATATTTTCAAGTGTTTATAATGCTGATCAATTGATTTTGAAAATATTAGAATATCATCAATATAAACAATAGAATATCATCAACAGGATCAATATAAAGAATTCAGAAATTGGTATTTTAAAGTTTTTGACCAAAATCAATTACAGCTTTTTAAAACCCAATTTTATGAATTTCTACAAGAACGCAAAATGGTTATACCTTTTGTTTCTTGGTTCTACATGACCAATCATTCTCTTGTTAATATAAACATATTGGATGATTTTCTCAAACCATGGACCACATCTGAAGATAAGGTTTTTCACTCTGTCCATCCTCCCACTGAACATCTAATTCTGAAAAGAATTGACCCTGACAGTGGTTCTAAAGTGGAAGCCAAGGCTTATAGCCAACCCAGAATAATTGATCCATCCTGTAATGCTACTAAAAAGGACATTTCTCATATTTACAGGCAGAACAATTATACTAATGTTTGTTTACAAACGATAGGATCCCAGCTTGGGAGAATTGAAACGGGAATTGACACGGTATTAAATACAATTAATACTAAGTGTATTACTGTTAAGACTTCTCCTCCAGAAGCTTCCTTATCCAAAGCATTGGTGAAACCTGCAATTGAAGTTCCATGCTTCAATCTTACACATCCTAAGAAGAATGAAGAATTTCTTACTCTTCTTACTCAGAAAATTCAAGGACTCAAAATTCAGACTTTATCCCATGATGAATCTGAAATTGGTTCTGATTCTGAGAATGTGTTACCTCATATTGAGGTATTCCAAAATGATTTTACTCAGATGCCTGAGTTAAACCGAATTGTCTATGATAGGAATATCCACTCAAATACAGCCCCTGCTCCGAGTCGATATTATTATCCCAGACCCACACCTCAAGATATCTTGTATGAAGAAGATTATTTTCATACACAGAAATCTTTTCATGGCAAGACCATTTATGAATGGAACATAGATGGCAAATCTGATTACCAGATTTACGAGGTTATTCATCAAATCTTGATGTACAGCCAAGTTTGTAAAATCAACAACAATACTGACCCAACCATTGCTAAGTTTGTCGTTGCTGGTTTTACAGGAATCCTTAAAGGATGGTGGGATAATGTTCTCACTGACATTCAGAAAGCTGAAATCTTTTCTGCTACCAAGATTGTTAAAGATGAAGCTACTCAACAAACAGGACCTGCTCCTGATGCGGTTTACACTCTCATTACCACTATTATCCAACATTTTGTTGGCCCGGAAGGTGCTAATAGTGAACGGAGTCGTGAGCTTCTACAGAATCTAAGATGTCCATCTTTAACTCATTTTAGGTGGTATAAAGATGTATTCTTGGCAAAGGTTCTCCAACTCAATGATGCAAATCATGAGCACTGGAAAGCCAAATTTGTAGATGGTTTACCAACCTTCTTTGCAGAAAGAATCAGGAAAAAGCTTAGAGATATGAATAATGGTATCTCTATCCCTTACAGAAACTATACCTATGGTGGATTAGTCAACATTGTAATCTAGGAAGGTCTAGCTCTTTGTAATGATCTGAAGTTACAATCCCAGTTAAAATCTCAAAGATTAACTGGTCGAAAGGAAGTAGGTGAATTTTGTGATCAATTTGCCTACCAGACTCCCTTATCTTATCCTAAACCTAGGAAAAGAAATAAGGTTGAAAAACCTTATAAAAGGAAGTATTCCAAACGAAAGAATTATTCAAAGGAAAAGGATAATTCTAGACAGTATACTAAGCCTAAAAGGAAATATACTCCTAAAGCAAAGGGTAAAGGAAAGCCCAAAGCTGAGGCTAAATGTTTCAAATGTGGACGTATCGGCCACTATGCAAACAAATGCAGAACTAAGGAAAAACTCAGTAGTCTTCACATAGAAGAGGAACTGAGACTTCAATTAAGTAAATTGTTACTTAATACTAGTTCTTCTGAACCAGAATCATCAAGTGATTACGGAGATGTTGTCATGGAATTACAGTCTTCTTCTTCCTCTGAAGCAGAGATTGAAAACCCTAGATGTTCCTGTAATCCCTCTCATGATGACTATTATAAGGCAATTGTTGAGATGAATGGGTTAAGCTTAAATGTTTTGACTTCGACTCAACAATCCTTATTGGATCTTATAGATCATATCCAGGATCCTCAAATCAAGATGAAAGTCTTTGAAATAGGTTCTGCCCTGGCAAGATCTAACGAGGATACGGATAATTCAGATTTTCTGAGAGCAGAAAATCATTACAGCATGATAGAAGTTCTATGCATATTAGAACACCAAGGACAAAATTCACGTCCTGCTAATCTCCCTGATCTTAGAATGGAGATTAATCTTTTAAAAGAAGAAATTCGTCAATTAAAGTCTCGTCAGACTAAGATGGATTTGGAAATTACTCTTTTAAAAGCAAAATCTGCAATTCCATCTTCATCATCCAATGATGAAGTCCCTCAATCAGAAGGTACTAATTATCTCCAACTCTTGAATCAAGTTACTTACCAAAAATGGTATGTTTCTATCAATTTGGTAATTAATCAGGAGTACACAATCACTAATGCAATTGCCTTAGTTGATAGTGGTGCAGACATGAACTGCATACAGGAAGGATTGGTTCTTACTCAATACTTTGAGAAAACCACTCAAGGTCTTACCAGTGCAAGTGGAGGTAAGATGCAGATTAAGTATAAACTTAATCATGTTTTCATTTGTAAAGAAGGTATTTGTATACCATCTACTTTCTTACTCATCAGAAACATGGCACAACAAGTTATTTTGGGCACTCCTTTTTTAGCTTTGATTATGCCAATTGGGAAAATTGATTCTCATAGAATATGCTCTAATTTATATGGCCAGTCAATTACTTTCCAGTTCTTGACCCCACCAGTAAATAAGCATATCAATGCTCTTAAAGATAACATTATCTTTAAGGAAAAGCAACTGAATTATTTGCAAAAGGAGGTATCCTCCTTAGCAATTAATCAAAGATTGGTACAACCCACTGCGCAACAGAAAATTGAGTCACTACGGCAAAACTTTCTAAAGGAAATCTGTAGTGAGATTCCTAATGCTTTTTGGGCCAGAAAGAAGCATATTGTTTCTTTACCCTATGAAAAGGGATTTACCGATCGCATGATTCCTTCTAAAGCTAGTCCCAGCCACATGAAAGCTGACTACTTGGAATTATGTAAAACTGAAATCAGC